TTTTTTAAGGACTGTGGGGTTTTTAAGGTTGTGATATTAATGTTGTGATATTAATGTTGACATCATAGCTTGGGGACAAGAATTGGAAAGCTTATGGTTTAATAGTGATGTGTTTGTGTGTCAAGTTGACAAGGGGTCAATTATGCTGGATAGCTTTAGTGTCAACTTAACACACCTGGGTTGAGGGAGCCTCAACTGGGGAATTGCCTCTATTGGACTGGCCTGTGGCCATGTCTGAAGGGCATCTTCTTGATGAGTGATGTGGGAGGGCCCAGCCCACTGTGGGTGGTGCCACTCTTGGGCAGGTGGGCCTGTGTTGCATAAGAAAGCAGGCTGAGCAGGGGCCAGGGGAGCAAGCCTGTAAGCAGCGTTCCTCCATGGCCTGTGCTCCAGCTCCTGCCTCCAGGTTCCTGCCCTGAGTTCCTACCTTGGGCTCCCTGATGAACTGCATGTGACCTGGGAGATGTAAGACAAATAAACCCTTTCCTCCCCAAGTTGGTACTGGTCAGAGTGTTTTGTCACAGCAAATGAAGAACAAACTAGGACACCCTCCCTGCATCTCTGGAATGAAGCTTACTTGATCATGGTGGATGATCTTTTTGATGTACATCTATATTTGGTTTGCAAGTACTTTGTTGAGAATTTTTGCATCTATGCTCATTGAGGATCTGGGTCTATGGTTTTCTTTTTTGGTTGTGTCTTTATCTCGTTTGGGTATTAGAGTGATGCTGGCTTCAAAGAAGGAATTTGGGAGTTCTCCCTCTGTTTCTAACATTTTGAATAATTTAAGTAGTATTGGTGGAAGGTCTTCTTTAAATGTCTGGTAGAATTCTGCTGTAAATCCATCTGGGCCTGGGTTTTTTTTTTAATTGGGAGGCTTTGTATTACTATTTCAATTTCCTTGTGTGTTATGGGTCTGTTTAAACTGTTGATCTCTTCTTGGTTTAACTTCTTTTGTGGTTCCTATGATTTTATATATCCATCCATTTCTTTTAGGTTTTCAAATTTAATAGTGTATAGGTTTTTAAAGTATTCCCATATAATGTTCTGGATCTTTGGGTGTCTGTTGTGATGTTTCCCCTTTCATCTTTGATTTTATTGCTTTGGACTTTTTCTTTCTTTTGGTTAACTGGGCTAAAGGTCTATCTATCTTGTTTAGTTTTTCAAAGAGCCAGCTTTTAGATTCATTGATTCTTTGTATTGTTTTCTTTGTTTCTATTTCATTAATTTCTGCTCTGATTTTTGTTACTTCTTCTCTTCTGCTGGGTTTGGGTTTCATTTGTTTTTACCTTTCCAGAGTCTTGAGTTGCAGTGTTAAATCATTTATTTGTGCTCTTTCTGATTTTTTAATGTAGGCACTTAGAGCTATAAACTTCCCTTTTAAGACTGTTTTAAAAGTGTCTCTGAAGTTTTGTTGTATTATATTTTCCTTTTTGTTGAATTCCAGGAATACTTTTATTTATTTAAGTTCTCCTTAGACCTACTCATCATTCAACAGTGTGTTGTTTAATCTCCATGAGTTTGTGTAGTGACTAGAACTTCTTCCAGTGTTGATTTTAAGCTTTATTGCATTGTGGTCTAATAGAATGCATGGAATTATCTCAATTTTTGTTGAGATTTCTTTTGTGCCCCAGTATGTGGTCAATTTTTGAGAAAGTTCCATGGAGTGCTGAATAGAAAGTATATTCTTCGGTGCTTGGGTAGAATATTTGAAAGATAGCTGTTAGGTCCATTTGATATGTGGCATCATTTAATTCACACATCTTTCTGTTTATTCTTTGTCCAGTTGACCTGTCTAATGGAGACAGTGGGGTATTGAAGTTCCATACTATTACTGAATTGGGGTTAATCTATGTCTTAAAGTCTTATAGTGTTGTTTTTATGAATTTTGGGTGCACCAGAGTTTGGTGAATATATGTTCATGATTGTAATATCTTCTTGGTTAATTCTTCCTTTAATCAGGATGAAGTGACCCTCTTTATCTCTTCAGATTAGTTTTAGTTTGAAGTCTATTTTGTCAGATATTAGAGTTGCAACCCCTGCTTGTTTCTTAGTGCCATTTGCTTGAAATATTTTTTTCTTTCCTTTCACCTTAAAGTAGTGCCTGTCAAAAACAAAAACAAAAACAAAAAAAGTAGTGCCTGTCCTTGAAGGTGAGATGGGTTTCTTGCAGACAACAAAAAGATTAATTTTTGTTTCTCAATCCATCCAATTATCCTGTGTCTTTTGACTGGGGAGTTCAGGGCCGAGAGCACCTGATCTGGCCTCCATCTGGAGTAGGGGCTAAGAATTCACCAAACTGCCTAAAAGCACCTGGATCCATCCTCCATGTTGTGGTAGCATTCCCAAACCTTCCCCTAATCACTACATACTCAACTCCCTAACTGAGATTACCTGAGACCCCCCCCCAAGGTCCCAGGGGTAGACCTACCCTACTGTAGGGAAGAGACCTTAGCAGAGGGCCTGAGAGTGACTGATCTGGCCTCTGCCTGGTGTAGGGGCTGAGAACTCAGCAGACCGCCTGAGAGTCCCAAAATCAGGTCTCCCCTTAGCGAACTTCCCAAAGTGTGCTCTGAGTACTGGCTAGTAGGGATCCAACGTTAGAAAGAAGCCTGAGTGTACCTGACTGGAACCTGACTTGGGTCTCTGTGGGAGCTCCAAGTAGCTGATCTGAAGCTATCAGTTCCCTCCAAAATAAAATCCGAGAGACCCTGAAAAGCAGCTTACATATTCAATAAGAAAACAACCAAGGCACACCAATAACACAAACAGAAGCAGACTTCAACTCAACAAAAGAAGACTTGAGTTTCATACCAGAAACATAAAGAGCAAAGAAATCCACATGCCAAAATTGCAATGGAAAATTACTAACAGGGAAAACAAAACAGCATGTTCCCACCAAACTCCACCAGTCCTGTGGAAGAGTTCTACAAGGAGAACCCCCTAGAGATAACCCAGGACACAGAATTTAAAAGAACAATTATAAACATGATCAAGGAATTCAACGAACTTAAAGAACACACGAACAAACAAATCAAAGAACTAAAAGACGATAGGGATAAACTTCTGACTGAAATCACAAAAGAGATGGAAACATTGAAGAAAACTCAGACTCAAATGAAGAAGGAAGTGCAAAACTCAGTAAGTCAATTTGAAACAACAGGGGAAAGCCTCACTGCTAGAATGAATGAAATGGAAAACAGAACATCAACACTGGAGGATGAAGTTGAAGAATCATTGCCACTCAAGCAGAGATTATGGAAAATGTTAAAGAACACAGGAATGGAACGTGCAGGATATGTGTGCCACCATGAAAAGACCAAATCTATGTGTCATAGGCATAGAGAAAGGAGAATTTCAAATTAATGGTATTGACCAGATCTTAAACGGGATTGTAGAAGAGAACATCCCAAAATTAAGGAAAGGTATCACCATACAATACAAAAAGCCTATAAAACACCAAATAGGACCAGAAAAGACACTCCCCACGGCATATCAAAGCAAAAACACTAAATGCGTGGAACAGAGAGAATACTGAAAGCTGCAAAAACAACAATAACAAAAAACTCAGCAACTCACAAATAAAGGGAAACCCAGCAGAATCACAGCTGACTTATCAATGCAAACTATAAAAGCCAGAAGAGCCTAGAACAAGGTATTCCCAGTTCTAAATGACTGTAGATGCCAGTCCAGGATACTTTACCCAGTAAAAGTGTCTATTATAGTTGAAGGGAAAGAAAAATCTTCCATGACAGGAATAGACTGAAAGAATTCATGTCCACAAAACCCACCCTTCAAAGAATGCAAAGCAGCAGAAAGACCAGAGAGAGGCACAGCTAACCCCAGGACAGCAGAGAGAGGAACAGCTACACCCCAGGGCAGCAGAGAGAGGAACAGCTACACCCCAGGGCAGCAGAGAGAGACCAAATGAAGGTAAAATTGTGGAAACACAAATTAGACAAAGCATGAAAACAGCCATCAAAATGACGGCAACCAATACACACCTTTCAGTTACAACTTTAAATATCAAGGAATGGTTTTACACCAAGGCTAACCATTCCACAGTCACTCCTGCGGTCCTGCAGACACACCCAGAAGCCTAGAACCCACTGTTGAGTGACAAGAGAAAAGATTCTTACCTGTTTCAGGAGCTTTTTCCCTCTACTTTTGTAACCCATGAGAATCTCAAAGCTGGGCTTTTTGGGTCTCACACCTAGGGTGAAGAGACATTCAGTGCGTAAGTGCTTTTGAAAAGCAGTATCTAGGAAGTATCCAGAAGGAAACTTACCGTTTTTTTTTTCTCTACTGGGTATTGAACTCAGTCATGCACATGCTAAGGCAGATCACTGAGCTACTTCCTCAGCCCTCGTTTGACTCTCTCTCTCTCTCTCTCTCTCTCTCTCTCTCTCTCTCTCTCTCTCTTTTTTCTCTCTGTCTCTCAAATTTTTCTGCTGTTTTTTTAAAAAATATTTTCTTTCTTTTTTTTTGTGTGTGTATGAATGTATTGCCTACATATAAGCAAGTGACCTTCGGAAGTCAGAAGAGGGTGTTGGATCCCCTGGAATTGGTGTTACAGATGGTTGTGAGCCGCCATGTGGGTGCTGGGATTCGAACCTCAGTCTTCTGCAAGAACAGCCAGTGCTCTTAACTGTGGAGCCATCTCTATAGCCTCATTATTTTTGTGTTTTGAAAAGGATCTCATATAGCCTTGGTTGGTCTTGAACCTCTGACCCTCCTGCCTCAGCCTCCCAGGTTCTAAGATGACAGGCATCAGCCACCATACCTGGATCTCCTCCTTTGAGCTTTTGTTGTTGTTTTATTTTGGTTTTGTTTTATTTTATGAGTCAGTCTCAATGTAGCCACAACTGACCTGGAACTTGCTGTGTAGATCAGGCTGGTCTCAGATCTCACCAAGATTTACCTGCCTCTGCCTCCAGAGTTCTGGGATTAAAGGCATGCACCACCACACCTGGCAGTCTTCTGACTTTTTTTTTTTAATTTCATGATAGTGTTTCACTAAGTTGCCCTGTTGGGCCTGAATTGTAGTCCTCCTGCCTCAGCTTCCTGAGTAGTTAGGATTACAGGCCTGTGCCGCAAAGTTACCTTGATCTTCCCAAACATTCTTTAAATCAGTAATTCCAAACGCTCATGAATGCAGCCTCCCCATCCCAACCTCAGTACCAACCCTCCTCATATAATGCTCTTTTTCAGAGCTGCTAAGAGGCTAATATGTCTGGCAGATTCCTCCCTCCTGTCACGGCTGACCCTAACTTCTTCAATGTTAGGACACACAAAATGACACAGTGTGTGTCAGGAGGGAGGAGGCAGAAGTAAAGGAGGCCTTCTCAAATGGCCTCTGATTCTGGAAGGCATGAAAATATCATATACAGATCATGGTCAAAATAAAGATTGTGATTGGTTACAAAATAGTAGCTTATTATGGGACTTACATGGTTTTTTGTAGTTTAGAGGTGCTGGAGATTGAGCCTCAGTACCCCAAATTTGGTGTGCCTGGAAGAAAAGAGAAATTGATACCAACCAAGCCAGGCATGGTGATACCTGCCTCAGATGGCAGCCCTGGGGAGCCTGAGGCAGGACAATTCTGACTGGCCTGGGGTACATAGCAAGACCATGTCTCAAAAGAAATAAGTAACAAAACCAAACACCAGCAGATGGTTCAGCAAGTGAAGTGCTGTGACAGAAGGAGGACTTAGCTCATCTCCTTAACACCCACGAGAAACCAGTGAGATGGTGAGTGTCCATAACCCTAGGACTGGGGTTTGGGGTGAGGGTGTGGGAGGTGGGGGTGGACAGAGACAGGCTGCCCTAGAGCTCACTGGCCAGCCTATCTAGCCAGTCAGTGAGGGTTCAGTGAGACTCTGTCTCAAACAATAAGGTGGAGAGTGATAGAAAAAGACTCTTACAGTTGACCTCTGCCACCCCCATGCACCTACATATACTCACATACCATACACACATGCACAGACAAACGACAAACCCCACTTTCACAATAATAGACATCTAACAAAATCCCTTTATCAGTTGTTTCCTAACTCCCATTCAAAAGGCATTTTGAAACCACTGTCAAAATTCACTGTAACAGGCAATAGTAAAATGGAAACAAAATTAGAGGAACTATCTATAAACTAGGACAGGTAAAAGAGTCGAATCCTAATATGTAAACAGTTTACACAAATCATTAAAAATCTAATGACCCTAAAAGACAAATGGGCAAAGGATAGGACTAGAGAGCTGGCTCAGTGGTTAAGAGCACTGGCTGCTCTTGCAGAGGACCTGGGTTCAGTTTCCAGTACTCACAAGGTGACACAACACAGGTGCACTTACATACACACCTACATGTCAAACACTAGTACACAATTTTTTTTTAATTTAAAAAAAGGAAAATGGAGAAAGAAGCCGTACTATTGAACCTCATTATTCATGGATTCCAAATTTGCAGATTTACCTACTTGCTAACATTTTCGTGCAATCCTGAGGTTAATGCAGCAGTTTTTAGGTCATTGAGGAACAAGCACAGAGTAGTAAAAAAGTAGAATCACCTGCCATGCGCCTTCCAGCTGAGGTCCAGCGAGGCCAGCCAGGCCTTGTCTGTGCTCTCGGGTAATAAGTGTCTTTTATGTCGTCTATTTACAGCTGCATTTTCTGCATTTTTATGTTCTTTCATTGGGGATTTTGCTGTTTAAAATGGCCCTGACCATCGTCCTGAAGTGCTGTGTAGGGTTTCTAAACACACAAAAGCTACAATGTGCCTCACAGAGAAAAGACCTACATTAATTAAACATCATTATAATGCAGTTAGTCACAAGTTTAATGTTAATTAACAGCATATATTAATGAAGTGTCTTCAAACAGAAACATCCATAAAAACAAAGCTACATATTGAAAGTTCACAAAAACATTGTGACTAAAGGCATGCAGGAACCTAACTTTATACATGCCATAGGAGCATACAAAATGTGACTACTGGGGCTGGAGAGATGGCTCAGCAGTTAAGAGTACATACAACTCTTCCAGAGACCTGAGTTCCATTCCCAGTACCCATGTAAGGCTGCTTACAACAAGTTATAGGATAACTTCAGTTCCAGGGAGATCTGATGTCTCTGGCCTCCATAGGGACCTTCACTGACATGCACAGACCCACATCAGACACACACACACACACACACACACACACACACAATTAAAAATAATAAAAATAAATCTTTAAAAACACAAAGCCATTGGGGGCTAGAGAGCTGGCTCAGTGGTTAAGAGCACTGGCTGCTTTTACAGAGACCTGAGTTCTCTTCCCGAACCCACACTGTAGCTAGCATCTGTCTGTAACTCCAGGTCCGGGGATCTGACACCCTCCTCTGGCCTCCATGGGCATTGCACACACATACATGCAGGCCAAATACTTATACACATAAAATAAAAATTAAAAATTAAAAAGCCTACTTTCTGGCCCCCAAATTTCACTTCTGGAAATGTAGTAAGATGAATTGACAATCACATAGGTGTATTTTCAAATTCTAGTCATCAAAGCACTGTTCATAATAATTATAAATAACAAAATCCCCTAAATGGCTGGCAAGTGGAAAACGAAGGGAAAAAATGCAAAAGAAAAAAGCCAGATGAAAGACATGGTACATTTCAAACTCCTGATGGATTCACTCAACAGGATACTATGTATCGATTACTATGATTTTGTTAAATCTGAAAGAGGTCCATGAAAACACCGAGTGATATTTACAGAGGTCAAGATCCAGTATGACTTGGTCAATATACTGGACATATATATCTTTATGTATATACAAGCATATAGATTTTTGAAAGGGAGATCACTGAAATGTAAATTGATATTATCCTCAAGGAAGGGAAAAATTTCCTATAATTTTTCCTTCTTTCTTTTGCAGGGCTGAGACTTGAACCCAGGGCCTCCTTGCACGCCACGCAAATGCTATATCACTGAATCCTGCTTTTCTTTTGTCTTGTTTCTCATTGCATCATTGTATGAATGTTTTCAGAGACAAGCTGGTTTTGTTTTAACTGTGGCTATACTATATATAATTATTGCCATGCAAGGGAAGTGGGGGGTTGTGGTAAAGGACAACCTAGCTGATTGTTTCCAGTCGGTAACCTTGGTTACTTTTGTATGCCCGAATTGGAAGTTACATACACAGTAAGTACACAGAAATGTTTGATGAATGAGTATTCCTTTTCAAAACTTATCCCCTTTTAGCTTGTCTTTTTTTGTGTGTGCGAACAGTATTCAGTGTTCAATCACTTACATACGCTCCTAAAAGATAACCGAGAAGTGCTGGCACTTACCACTTTGTGCTTCAAGTTGAGTGAGTTATACAACGGTCTTGTTATATCGGGGAGTCCTGCTTGCAGATGGAGAGGCAGTCAGAATGAAATTCCTTACAAATGAGGTGATTACCCACACCACACACTACACTGCCTTTGTTTCTCTTTAGTGCTTTAGTATTTGAGCAGCAGAGTGTAAGACATCAGGTAAAACTGTGACTGGCATTTAAATTCATAGTAAACCTCCAAGAGCTTTGAGGAGGAGCACACATTTCATGTCTGGAATGTGACCCACAGCTTGCACTTTTAGAATCAGAGGGAACTAAGACTATGCCAGATTCCAAGGTTGTACATTTCCCTCAAGGTCCTGTGAAGCTCAAGCAGATCTTATAACTTCCATACCCTAAAACTTACCTAAGTTTCACCATACAGTTCCGTGCTTTCGGCAAGCTTACCTACCAAATGATGTGACCACCATCGCGGTAATCCAATATGAGAGCATTTTTATTGCCCCAGTGAGCTGCCTCATACCCATTTTCGGTTAATACCCATTCCTACTAGAGTCCCAGAAAGGTACTCATCTATTCTCTTTATACGTTTCCCTGTATTGGACATTTCATATAAATGAATCTTGTAGCATGTGGCCTTTTGCCTAGATTCTTTCAGCTAGTATAATAAGTTTGAGGTTATCAGTTTTGTAGTTGTTTTAGTATTTTGTTCTTTTTTAAAAAAAAATCAGAGTAGTATTCCACTGTATGAATGTATCATTTTGTTATCCACTTACCAGTGATGCGTGTAGGGTTGCTTCTGATTTGGGCTACTGTGGGCACTTCAGTCAACATTCCTGCACAAGTCTTTGTACAAACAATTTTTCTTCTAGTTGTTTGTTTGGTTAGGGGGTGGTGGATGGGTGGGGAGTGGGTTTTGAAATAAGGTCTCTGCATAGCTCAGTCAGATCTTAAATTTGCTCGGTATCCCTGGCTGGCTTCAAACCCACGTTCCTTCTTTCTCAGCCTCTTGAGTGCTGGAATTACAGGTAGGCACCACCATACCTGGCCTATTTGTGGAATTTCTGGATTCTATGATAAATTTATGTTTAACTTTTAAATTTATGTTTAACCTTTAAAAAAATTGTCAAAGCATTTTCCAAAGTGATCATACTGTGTTATATTCTCACTGTCAGTGAGGGAAGGTTTCAGCTTCTCCACATCGTCACCAACATTCATCATCTATCTTTGAGAAGATAACTAGGCTAACGGATGTGAAATAGTATCTTATGTTTCTATTTTTAATTAATTAGCTTCATGTGTATGAGTGTTTTGCCTACATGTATGTAAGTGCAACAGAGCCATGTAATACCCATGGAGGTCAGAAGAGGGCGTTGGATCCCCTGGAACTGGAGTTACAGATAGTTGTTAGCTGCTGGGGACTGAGCCCAGGTCCTCTGCAAGAGCAGCCAGTGATCTTAATTGATGAGCCATCTCTCCAGCCCAAGATCTCATATTTCTAATTTCTATTTCTCTAATTACCAATAATGTTTTATTCTGTTTTTATTAAAAATAAGAAAAATGTTGAAAGGCAGCCTTACTTGGCATAAAATGATTGGTCTAGTCACTAAGCATGAGTTGGGGAGGAATGGGCTTTGGTTATTTGTTTTTTTGTACTTTTTTTTTTTGGTCTTTTTGCGAGAGAGTCTCCCTGTAGTCCCAGCTGTCTTGAAACTCAATATGTAGACCAGGCTGGATCTTGAATAGAGATCCACCTGCTTCTGCCTCCCAAGTACTAGGATTAAAGGTGTGTGCCACCACGCCCGGCTTGTGTGTGTGTGTGTGTGTGTGTGTGTGTGTGTGTGTGTGCTATTTTATGCTCATAAACTTTTTTTTACTGGTATATATTCTTTGAACATAGTGTGTCTTGTAGAGGTCTTTCACTTCCTTAATTAGGTTTATTCTAAGATTTTTCTAAACTGTTGTGGATGGGAGTGTTTTTCTGATTTTTTTTCTCAGGATGTTTGTGTTTTGTATACAGGAAGGCCACGATCTTTGTATGTTAATTTTGTATCCTGCCCCTTTGCTGGAAGTGTTTATCAGCTCTGAGAGCTTTCTGGAGGAGTCTTTGGGGGTATTTTACATAGGATCGCATTATCTGCAAGTGAGGATGCTTCGACTTTTTCCTTTCTTATTTGCAACCCTTTTATCTCCTCTTCTTATTGCTTATGCTAAGCCTTTGGACATCATATTGAATAATAGCAGAGAGAGTGGACACCCTTGTCTCGTTCCAAATTTTGGAGGAAAAGCTCTATTTTACCCTCATTTAGTATAATGTTGGCTATAGTTTTCGCATACATAATCTTTATTGTGTTGAAGTATCTTTCTTCAGGGCCTTTTTATACTGATACACTTTTTAAAAAAGATATCTTGAAGTCAAAGAGTTTGATGTTTAACTAAAGAAAAGCCCAATTTCCACAACCGCAGTGAAAGCAGATGGTTGAGAAGCTCTGCTTCACAACCACACAATCAGCTGTGATGGTTCCACTCTACTGAGTCTCACCCTCTCAGCGCTCTCTCTGTGAGACCCAACCTGCTTTGGCCACCAGAGGCTTGACTAGTTCCTGTAACCCCTTCCTTTCAATAACAAGATGACAATATTATTAATGGGTAAATGATATGATTCTGCAATAATAAACATCTACGAAATGTAATTTTGAGGCATTTGGTGTAGTATGAGAAAAAAAATGACAGCAGGTTTCACAGTAGCCCATTGTGTAAGGTCACACTTGTGACCACCTTTTAGCCATCATTTCTCCAACTCTTCAGCCTCCGTGTGGAAAGGAACACCAGTAAGCTTTCATGTGCTGGAATGTGTCTGGCTAATAACTTTTCCTTGCAAGTTTCAAGCTGACAAAATCTTGGATTTCCTTGAAACTTTGAGCTCCTCAAAATGAAGGTTCACGAACACAAAACGATGATGAACGGTGAAGAGAAACTGCTCTCCGTGTCTGAGTACTGTGCTCTTAAATTGTATACACGCAGAGGAGGGGATTTAGATGAAACATAAGCATTAGAATAGCACTTAACCTATAGTCCACAAACAACCTGTGAGGATCCAAGATGTCTGAATTTTGCGGATAAGAGTCTTTTTGGAGATTTTTCTGAAGACCAGAGCTTTCACCAGAGTTTTCAAAGTGTCTAAAAAAATACAATGTATCTTAGAGAGATAGTTGTTAACCATGGGGCTAGATTACAGAACAGATATTTTTCCTCACAGATTTCTAAGACTCAAGCATTCAGTAGTCTCCATATTAGATACAAATTATTCTGTCACTAGTAAATTTCTTGGGTGTGATAGTAGTATTATGGTTATGTGGAAAAGCATTCTTACTTGTGGAAGACACGCTAAACAGCATTTGAAAGCATTGCTCTGATGTCTGTAATTTCCCCTAAGAGTCCAGCAAAAAAAAAAAAAAAAAAAAAAAAAAGCACATGCAGGTATCGGTATATAGAAATCCAGGGCAGGCACCAAGCCTGACAACCTGAGTTCAGTCCCCATGACCTACATGGTAGAAGGGGAGAATCGACTCCCACAAGTTGTCCTGTAACTGCCACACCATGTCACACTCATCCCCTCCCCAAATAAATAAGTAAATAAATAAAATGTATATTTTAGAAATTCAGATAAAGTAAAATGTTAACAAATATGGCAAATGTTAGAATTTGATGAGTCCATGACGGAATTCTGGTACTGGTGATCATATTATTTCAACATTTAAGTTGTTAATAAAAGAATAAGATATTCATTTGTCTGCCTTAACTTCACAATTACAAGAAAGTCATTACCATATTTTATAGGTGGCTAAAATCAAGCACAGACATGTGCACACGCGCACGCACGCGCACACACACACACACACACACACACACACGCACAAATTAGGAAAGTCTGGTATGGGTATCCCAAAACACATTTGAACTATAATTAAAGACAGACCCAAGAAAAATGCTTCATCTTTTCCTGTCTTTGGCCATCTTAATTGAGCCCCTCTTGTGGATGGACCCCAGGTCTGCTCACACAGCCCACCCCAGTCACCACTGTGCTAGGAGTGTAGCTTTAAACTCTCAGACAAAATCAATCACAACCACCCCTCATCCATGTTATGTCAGAACAGGAAAATGCATGCAATCACAGATGGCATCTTGTGACCTTCTTAATAACAGGCTTGGCTGCCAAGGTTCCCTTGTGTCCTGGCTCTGCAGGGAATTTGGAAACTGTTGCCTTACACTTGAATACTTTCCGGCAAACACATTTAACCATTTATTAGTCAGTTTCCTAATTTAAACTAGAGAGAGCAAAACAAAACAGAATTCCCAACACCTGAAGGGACGCTGGTATTTCCTGAGTACAGAGGCCCATCCTGGGATTCTTTAGGGCCTGCTGGCAAAGATTGGCCGTAGCTATCTGCACAGTGGGGACCTCAATTCCAGGCCAAGAGCTTATCACGCTGCCTAGTTTTCCTGGTGGCCAATGTGATCCTTTTTCTCTTTCTCTGTACTTTAAAAGAAATGTGCACTGTGGTGCCCACCTAGCTAAGGGAGACAACCAGCTATTGTTCTAAAATGATGGCTACATTTGTTTTCTCCCCCTATCTACAAGCCTTTGAGAGGGAACCGACACTGATTCTAACCACTCCAACAGCTATCAAAATACCTAAAAGCAAATCCTGAATCCATTACCCTAGAGCCCAGCCTTGGAAGACAAAAGAAAAATGAGGAGGAACCCAATAGAGGGATGCAACATTTGAAATTTGCCCTGTTCTGACTTTTTTCTGGTTCCCTGTCTAGTACTTGTAATGCTAACTGCTCTTGCCTTTGCTTCTCCTTCACATCGCGTATTCATCAGTCAAGGGCTTTCTTTTCTTCCTACAGATAAGAGTTATGGAATTTGAGCGTCTTTTTGATAGACCTACTGAAGGGGTACCCCAATTGCCTCACCCTGCATCCCTGTTTAGCATGGAAGAAGACAGAGCGGTCTGCATCCCAATTCTCTATGAGCAATTTGGGTAACCTCTTCAGATGGTGGTGTG